TCACGTTTGAGCATCCATAATAGAGGTGGAATAAACTCTTAAAATTTCAGCTTCACTGCTTCCGTATATCTGTGGTTACAAACAAACACACAAACAGGGGAACAAAAGAATATGTCTCCTGTCCTGCACCCTAAGCATTTCTGAGTCAATTCTTACGCACACCAGAAATTCACGTACAGACACATTGGAAGTTTTGATTGAAAGTTTTTAAATTTGAAGACTAGGTAAAACAGAAAGCTGAAGTTTTAGGAGTTCATATTCGGCTTACACGTCTGCCTACTTCTCACGTATGGACGCACGAAATCTCAAATAGAAGATCTTCTAAGAGACCGGAGAAAACATCTAAAATTTCAAAATAATGTTTTTTTTTTGTCAGTGAGTTACTCTGAAAACGCAATTTCAGCTTCCAGATATGCCTAGTTTTCACGCAGAGAAAGGCTAAAGTTTTTTTGGAAAATTTTCTAACTTAGGAAACGATATACAGCTAACAGAAGAATTTTTCTTGATCATTTGGAACCTCAAGAATTAGAAATTAGCTTTCACGCATGCCTAATTCCCAGGCTCATATGCATGAATATTCAGGCAGGAAGTTACAAAAATCTTTCTCTCTATGCTAAGAAGAACTGAGCAAAATATAAGGTCGTACTGGCTATCTGGTGAGTGTCGCTATTTATATTTTTGAAAAAAACAACAAAACGAATTTTTTAATTTTCGAATCTGATCAACAGACTTCAGTAATTTGTCGACGTTGCACGGCGGATAGATTAAGTATGTGCGATCATCAATGCCCAGTAATGTCACAATATGTTCACGAGTCCATCTAAAATTTCACAGCCCGTTAAGGGAAAGAATTTAAGAAATCCACGATTTTCAAGACAAGAAAAGGTTACAAATGTTGGCGTATTTCAAAAAGAAATATAGATACTACAAGTATTATAAATAAAATACAGATAATATTGTTTTTCTGTGAATTATGGAAAAAGAAAAATTTCAAAATTTTTTACAGAAAAAAAATTTTATCATTAAAAAAAAACGAGTCAAAGGGAACATAAAATAATATACAATTCTGATTTCGAAATTAAAACTTCTATCTTTTTTATTTCATCCGCAAAAATATCAACTTACGTTCCATTAACCATTACCAGTTTACTACAGATACCGCTCAGCCAATACAGTATAGCGAACATTCGATAATATATGAGTTTAGCATGGGTTAAGATTCGACTCTTTGCTATCCACTGGGCATTATTGTACGATGATTCGGCTGATTCCACCAAATTTATCATATCTGAATGTAAACCAATCACTTTTGAACGATTATTTACTCTATTTTTCAAATTAAACACTACTTTCACTTACATTCCTTTCATATTGCTAACGTGCTTATACAGTACTGTTGGGCGAGCCTCACCTGACCCTGGCGAGTCGCGCCCTGACGAAGTACACACCGAGGTCATATTTAAAATTTAATGGCTCCGACGAGCCAACCGGGGAATGTAAAAAAACAAACAAACAAAGAATTAATTCCTGATCACGCACATTTATGTACAGAATTTTAACGCATAAATAAAGCATTATCACGGGGCATCGACATTCACGAACATCCTTGCCGAATCCGCACGCTCTTGGATAGCCCGCTTTGGAATATGCAATTCCTGTGTACTTGTAAACTGTTATATTCGTTCGTTTGGCTTATTAAAATGCTCTACAATTACTGCCTCAATTAATCTCATTTTATGTACTTCTGCATGGAAGATTACAGCTTTCCAGGTGCAGCTGTTTTCAAAGTCTAAAGCAAACAAAAAGGCTCCCTCTTATCTTTTTCCCACATAAAAAAATATCAAAATTCCCACAGCATTTCATCATCAAGTAAAACAGATGTTAAAATTTAGGAGTTCCACTCAGAGAAACACGCCCAATTCCTCTCAAAAAGTTTTCCAACAGAATTTTAATCGACATCACCAATCCATACATCCAAAATTCATCAATTTGAAAAATTTTTGGTGATAATACCCTGAGAAAAATTCCAGACAGAAGTTAAAAAAGTCCCTTCAGATTCGTTTCACGTGAAAGAACTTTTTACTTCTGTCTGAATTTCAGTCCAATGGCAATGGCTTTCGATATGCCAACACCAATCATCCCCATGCCAGTACCAATTTACCATCGAAACGAATCAATAAAACGTAGAAGTAATTGCTGTTTTAATGGGAAAATTGCAAATTCATTCTCACTTCAAAAACAAAATATTTTTAAACCTATAAAACCGAAATTTATAATATTTTTTATAATAAAAATATAAGAAAAAAATTTAACAACCAAAAAATTCAATAACCCTATAAACAAAACAAACAAAAAATAAAAAATAATAAGAAATAAATTAATTAAAAGGATAATCAGTAGAATAATGACCGGCCCACGTCAGTCAAAAAAAAAAATTCAAACAAAGCAACCATAAAAAAAAAAACAAAAAAAATTCAAAACGTCTCAAGTATAAAGACAGCTCTACCTCTGCGTCATCTTCACCAGCCCGTAGAACGCAGTAGCATTTCTGTCACTAATTCAATTGCAGGAGAAAAAACAGTAAAATTAAAAAATAAGCGTTAATTAATGGCAAAACAGGATCGTTTGATGATCTGCTGAAGTGATCAGCAACAACGCAAGAGCTTCATATGCAAAATTTCATTGCGAAAAAATGAAAATTTACCGCATGATATGACGGGATAGTGCACGTAGCAAGCAACAGTGCATCCAGCTAACCACCTACAACAAAAACCCAGTGAAATTTTACATAATTTTAATTATACACTGCAGAATTTTTTAAAATAGAAGCACCAAAAATTGCAGGATTTACCGAATTTTAATTTTTTTCATATCCAGTCAAATTTATGGAATGCTGTAGTCTTAAAAATCAACAAAAAACCAAGATATAACAACCCAAAATTTCAAGCAACATATTTTTTTTAGACGGTTTTTATATCCGCTGACAATTTTCGCCTAAGAATAGAAG